AATCCCATGTAGTCGATCACCTTCGTCTGCCATTCTTCCAGCGTGGGTAGTTCTTGTGTCTTCCAATACTTTGCTAAAAGAACCCTTGCTGCTGTGGTAGCATACATAAAAAACGTCCTATCTTTCCTTGACACCAATTGACCGACCATGCCCAGGAGAAAAGCCTCTGGTTTCTTATGAAAGGTACATTTAAGGACCTTCTTAATTTCATTATAGATCATTTCCCAGAAGGCCTTAATCCTCGGGCATGTCCACCAAAGGTGATAGAAAGTTCCTTCAGTCTCATTACATTTCCAACATTTGTTATTAGGCAAATGATAGATTTTTGCAAGCTTGACTGGGGTCATGTACCACCTATAAATCATTTTCATAATATTCTCTCTTAGGGCATTACATGCCGTAAACTTTATACCGGTGGTCCATAACTGTTCCCAGTCAGCAAACATAATGTCATGACCAATGTCTTGTGCCCACTTAATCATAGCTGATTTGACTGTTTCATCTTGTGTATTCCACTTCAACAGCAGGTTATACATTCTTGACAAATTCTTAGTATTGGGTTCTAACAATTCTGTTTCTAACTTTGATCTCTCCACCTGGAAGCCAATTTTCCTGTCTTGTTTAAAGAACTTACCTTCTCATGTCCTGACTTAGAGGTCTTCTGCTGGCCAGGGACTGCTGCTCTCAGGTTTGAGGCAGCTGAATCCTGGGACAAGATAGTCGATTTTCTGTGGACACTGGAGGTCTGCTTTTAAAGTCGGAAAGAAAAAGGAATAAAATTAAGAAAAGTGTCATTTTTTTTTGTCTAGAGAACAGTTGCCATTTATTTGCCACTTGTCTTCTCTTTAAAAAATATGCATGCCTAGAAATAGACTAGACTAGAAATATCATAATTATCTGTCTATGCATTTCTAACAGTATAACCAAATCAGTAGATTTTGATATAAGTGCAAAAAACAACTCTGAACATTTATTATTCCCAAAATCTTACTGGCTGGTGATTTGAGTCATGATTTTAAATTGATTTGATTTAAATCAACTCTACCCTGCATCATAAGGGACGCGGGTGGTGCTGTGGGTAAAACCTCAGCGCCTAGGGCTTGCCGATCGCATGGTCGGTGGTTTGAATCCCCGTGGCGGGGTGAGCTCCCGTCGTTCGGTCCCAGCTCCTGCCCACCTAGCAGTTCGAAAGCACTCTTAAGTGCAAGTAGATAAATAGGGACCGCTTTCTAGCGGGAAGGTAAACGGCGTTTCCGTGTGCTGCGCTGGTGCCGGCTCGCCAGAGCAGCTTCGTCATGCTGGCCACGTGACCCGGAAGTGTCTCCGGACAGCGCTGGCCCCCGGCCTCTTAAGTGAGATGGGCGCACAACCCTAGAGTCGGACACGACTGGCCCGTACGGGCAGGGGTACCTTTACCTTTACCCTGCATCACACGCACCTGGGGAGCTGGCTGGAGGTGTTGGAGGATGGTGTCCAAAATTTCCCGCTCATCCATCATCTCCAAAGTTTCTCTGAGCGATCTTCCTCTCAGCAGCTTCTTACCCGCCCACAAGTATCCAAATTTCTCATCTGAGAGTTCTTGAGAAAGAGAAAGAGAAAGAGAAAGAGAAAGAGAAAGAGAGAGGTGAGTAAGTGAGGCAGACGAGAGGAAAGGTCAGTTCTTTGTCAGGGTTGCTCGGTTGAAGTTGCTCCTTCCAGATGGGATTCAATGGCACGTCGGCAGAGTCAAGTTGCTCGGTTGAAGCGATTTGCACAATGAACCTACTTCCCGCTCCCCAACAGACTCCAAATCAGACATTTTTCGTGGTGGGAAAAGTGACAGGGAAACTAGAATGGAAAGTGGGAGCTAGCATTTTCTTGATGCAACATTGTCTCATCTCCCTGCGAATGAATTGGGACGAGCGCTCACTCGCTGACCTCATTCAACATCCCCACAATCTTTGGCAAACGGATCCGGATGAAGGTTCAGGAAGCAGGTCATGGGGAAGGGGCCACAGAACTGCCGCATCGGCTCAGTTCCTCGGACCGGCAATGGCAGCCCCAAAGGGTGGCCATGTCATCTCTGCACGCTTCAAATGGCACCACCTGGTGTCTATCATACTGGGGTAAACTTTCAGGGGAGGGGTCTTTCTGGGGTGGCTGAGGGTCATTTCCAGCCTTCATCAGGGACCTCCTAATGAAAGAGCTCCCCACGGCTCCTAGTACTACTTTGTCGTTGCTCTTCACTGTAAACTCCTGCATATCCAGAATTACAAGACACTTCTCACATGTGTGTACGTTCCATGCACCCTGGACTTCTGCTAGCACAATTGGGCTTCCCCCACCCTCTCTTCTCCCCATATGCCCCCCAAGCACCCCCTAATTGGCTCAGGGGTAGGCAGGCGAACCCCCAGAACAAAGCATGCAGGGGGGAAGGAGCGGGTAGGTTGTCCCACCAGGAAAGCAGAAATGTCTGAGCAAATGTGGCAATCTTAGCGCTGTGTTGAATTTGTCCCCTTTCACCAAACTGGGGAAATGGTTTCTGGAAAGTGCAGATAGCAGATGCAGGCCATAACTGAGAAGGGATCATAGAACTGTAGCGTTTGAAGGGACCTGCGGGGTCACCTAGTCCAACCCCCAGCAATTCAGAACAGAACAGGGGCAGCCACCTGGAAGTCCCTGCTCCATGTTACACGCCTCTTAAAAAGGAGGGGTGGGGTGGGTGGGACTTGCGCCCAGAGATCAAGGAAACCAAGAGAGACCCCGGCCTCGGATGACGCAGGCCTTGCCAAGGGGAACCCGAAAGGGATCTGGTTCTGTCTACTCACCTGGGAACACTGGCCCAGAATCCTCGGGGCTCTTCTTTTCCCCCAGGAACAAGTGCCGCTGCTGCCTGGAGTCCTGTCTGCTGCTGCCTGGCTGAACAGTGCTGGTCTGACGCTGGACCAGCTCTGGGAAGACTACTACCGGAGGGGCCAGAGATTTCCTCCTGGCCTCCGCAGGTGACTGGGAAGCTTTCACCAGCATGGGCAAGAGCTGGGAGGTTCTCTGGCCAGCCGGGTCATGGGTGGCACTTTGTTGCAGACTAGATGACGGGGCCTCCAGCTTGTCCTGCTGCCCCTGGTTGCTCTCCTGGATGTTTTCATTACTTTCCTGGTCCTTCTTTTTCAGGCACCAGAATGTCTGCAGGAAGGGTTTCATCCTGCAAGAGAGGAAATGGCCCCCTGGTTGGTTTGCTCATTGGGAACCCCTTTGGACTCCCCTTCCTTTCACCACTTGAGGGGCAGCAAGCAATCCCTCCCTATTGCTGCACGCCAACCCAATCTCCGTGGTGCGAGAGTCCACGGGTTCCAGGCATTCACCCAGGGTTTGTGTTTACTTTTGGGATTGAGGGGCAGCGGAGACGGTGATCTCTTGAGGATCTATGGTTGATTTATACATCTATGCAACCTGAGCCTATGATGGAGGGGTTCACACCATCGACACCCCAAGAGGGTCTTGCGTCTCCCGTAGTTGTAGAGTGTCAGGCTGGAGCAGCAAGAAGAAGGTGATTGGGTTGCTGCAACTCAAGTGGTGAAAGGAAAGGCACTTTGCATATGTTCAGAGGCCTCCTTGCCTTCATTAGTTCTCCTGTCCTAAGACTGAGATTCTTTAGGGCTGAAAACACGCAGGAGTTATTTTACCTGATATTCTCCTTCGCCTCTTTGTGATCTGTAATCTGTAATCTTCAGGGGGCAAAAGGAAATAAAAACTCTCTGATAATGTGGCTCCTCCTCACCAGCGTTGCTAGGGGCCCCCAAGCCCCTGGAGACATGAGGTCACAGCGTTATTTATGGCAACATCAGGAGTGCAATGATGTCAGTGGAAAGGAGACCTCTTGCTCACCTGGCCTGGGACAATGGGCCAGGAGTGTGCAGGTGTGGCCTTGCAGTTCCTGCGCCCCTGGGTTTTGCTGAATCCAAAAGCCATGTGAGATTTTTTTGGCCAAGCAGGTCAAGGCAATATCATTATTATATTTATTAAAGTAAAATAAATACATCAAATTTCTATGACACCCTTCATCCGAGGATCATATGCTTGTTTCACCTCCGCACTTTAAGTTATGGGTGGCCTTCCTCTCTTGCCAGCATTGTACTGTATATAGGGATGAAAAATGCCTGGCTTGAATTTATTATTAGAATGATCACATATTTATTTTCCTGACGGGGACTCAAGGCAGCTCACGGATGAAAATAAGACAAGCTAAAAATATTGGGGCCAGGCGGGAAAATCAACAATTAAAAAGCAATTAAACACTGGTTGAATTACAACTATGTGTTGTTGTTGTTTAGTCGTTTAGTCATGTCTTACTCTTCGTGACACCCTGGACCAGAGCACGCCAGGCACTCCTGTTTTCCACTGCCTCCCGCAGTTTGGTCAAACTCATGCTGGTAGCTTCGAGAACACTGTCCAACCATCTCGTCCTCTGTCGTCCCCTTCTTCTTGTGCCCTCCATCTTTCCCAACATCTGGGTCTTTTCCAGGGAGTCTTCTCTTCTCATGAGGTGGCCAAAGTCTTGGAGCCTCAGCTTCAGGATCTGTCCTTCCAGTGAGCACTTAGGGCTGATTTTCTTAAGAATGGATAGGTTTGATCTTCTTGCAGTCCATGGGACAAATTCACGCGGGACAACTGGCTATTGTGGTTTATTATTACGGGGCGAGTGCTTTGGAGCTTGTGTCCTGCTTGTGGGTTTTTCCTTGCTGCATCTGGTTTGCAACCATGGGATGCTGGACTAGATGGGCCTTTGAGCAGCTCAGTTGGTTAGAGCATGGTGCTGATAATGCCAAGGTTGCAGGTTCAATCCCCGTATGGGACAACTGCGTATTCCTGCATTGCAGAGAGTTGGACTAGATGATCCCCAGGGTCCCTTCCACCTCTATGATTCTTCTATGACTTCTGTTTCCCCCCCCCCATCCCTCAGCTGTTACAGCTCAAACCAAGAAGCGAGCCTAGCAGAAAGAAGCCACATGATCAAACTCAAGACTGAAACGTTTTATTAAAAGGGTTCTTTAATTTTCTCTAGGAAAACAATCATACATACAAAGAACAGGGGAAGAAAGGAAGGCTGTGTGTTTTCTCTAAGGCACAAAAGTGTTTTTGAGAGAGAAAAACGATCAGCACACCTACAGCAGTCATCAGAAGGTGTGTGCCTGCAGCAAATCATCGGCAGAAAAATGGCACAGTTGCAGCAACGGGCGAGGGCATGGATTGCTCTTTGGAAATAATATTAGCTGGCTCCTGTAAGCAGACAGATCCTCCAGCTAACAACTCTCTTGCTGAGTCTCTTAGTGAGGGGGGGGACTATTTTATTGGGGGGGGTACTCTTCCCAGGGTAGCCTTGAGAGGCTGAATCGATCAGCATCAATGTGGCTGGGAAAAAATACAGAGAACTTTGCTATTGCAGAAGGAAATTGCAGAGAGTTGTACATATGACATTTCTGGGATCGGGGGGGGGGGGACGGACTTTAAAACATCGTTGTCCAAGGTGCGCTCTGGATTCGCAGCAGAAACTATGACAAAACCCTCAAGTCGAAGCCACAGGCTGCTTTGTTGCCAAAGTTTTTTTCCTCCCCTCCTAGACTGGTTTTTAGAAACCACGCTTCCTCTGGTAGGGAGGAAGAAGTGGGGTTGGGGCTAAGTGGCGAAGACGGTTTTGTTCCCCAGCGCAGCAAGGAAAGGGCCCAGTGTTCTTTGGACGGTTCAAGGGACGCCTCAATAAGGAGGAGGTGGGGAGGCCTTGGTAGTCACGTCTGGGTAGGGGCGCAGCGGCTCCGGGTGGTCGATGGGCTGGTACGAGCTGCGGTCCTGCCCGACGTTGAGGACACCTGTGCAGAAGGAAAGGGGAAAGCGACAGCTTTTAGTCTTCGGATGCAGCACCCAGGGTTCAAGGTGTTCCCAGCAAGAATCTAAGTGCTGGGATGAGCTGCAACTGGAGAGCTAGCTGTAATTTTCTGAGCCGTGAATTAGACTATCACTTGAATTTACAGCCCCCAATACCTTGCATCAATGGGATGCGGGTGGCGCTGCGGGTTAAGCCACAGAGCCTAGGACTTGCCGATCAGAAGGTCGGCGGTTCGAATTCCTGTGACGGGGTGAGCTCCCGTTGCTCAGTCCCTGCTCCTGCCAACCTAGCAGTTCAAAAGCACGTCAAAGTGCAAGTAGATAAATAGGTACTGCTCCGGCGGGAAGGTAAACGGCGTTTCCGTGTGTTGCTCTGGTTTGCCAGAAGCGGCTTAGTCATGCTAGCCACATGACCCAGAAGCTGTATGCCGGCTCCCTCGGCCAATAAAGTGAGATGAGCGCCGCAACCCCAGAGTCGGTCACGACTGGACCTAATGGTCAGGAGTCCCTTTACCTCTATACCGTGCATCACAGCTCTGACCGCTGGCCATGTTGGCTGGAGGGCTACTGTTTCTCCACCTCTGAACTAGACCGTCACTTGTCTTCACTGCCCCTAGGGACCACTGACCATGGCAGCTGCGGCTGATGGGAAGTGGAATCTCATCTCAAATGCTGCAGGTTCCCCATCAATGAACCAGACCATCACTTGCCTTTACTGCCCCTGTTCCTTCTCAGTTCTGCCATCTTTTTTTTTATGCATGGCCAGGTAGCCTGGTTGATGGACAACAAATCCCATCCTTGTCCCTATTGGCCATGCTGGCTGATGGGAGTTGGCAGTCCAACCATGTTTGGAGAGTCACAAGTTCCCATAACCATTGCACTTCTTTGTTCATTGCCAGTGATCAATTTCCAAAATGAGGGATAGGTGCTTTGTGTCCAGGAAACCTCGCCTCTCAGGTGGCACTTTTGGTTGCTGTGAGTGACTAGGTGGGGAAGCACTCTGCACATGCTCTTCCGCACCTTCTTTATGCAAAAACCCTAGAGTCCATTGGCCCAGTCTTTGCTGACTTTAAAAATAGTTTGGTAAACTCTGGGAGCTTGGGTCTATCTATGGAAAGGTAAAAGGTCAGGGCCCCCTTGACAGTTAAGTCCAGTCAAAGGCCACTATGGGGTGTGGCGCTCATCTCGCTTTCAGGCTGAGGGAGCCAGCATTTGTCCGCAGACAGCTTTCCGGGTCATGTGGCCAGCATGTCTAAACCGGGCAGGACACCGTGACGGAAACCAGAGCGCACGGAAATGCCGTTTACCTTCCTGCCACAGCAGCACCTACCGTATTTTTCGCTCTATAAGACACACCCAACCATAAGACGCACCTAGTTTTTAGAGGAGGAAAACAAGAAACAAGAAAGCAATGCAAAGCCTCTTGAGTGAAGAGGGAGGAATGCTCCCACTGCGCTCATGAGGCTTTGCGTGGCTATCCCTGAAGCCAGAAGAGCAAGAGGGATCGCTGCGCACCAATCCCTCTTGCTCTTCTGGCTTCAGCGATAGCATTCACTCCATAAAATGAAGACACATTTCCCCATACTTTTTAGGAGGGGAAAAGTGCGTCTTATAGAGCAAAACAACAACAACAACGGTATTTATCTACTTGCACTGGTGTGCTTTTGAACTGCAGGAATCCGTTCCGCGATTCTCTTCGTCTAGCGGTTTTTTCGTCTTGCGAGGCATTCGTCTTGCGGGGCACCACTGTAGTTGCTCTGGAAAAAAAGTGGGATTCTCTCTTCCCTCTTTTTATTTATTTGCACAGAGGTGCTCTTATGTGTGTGTTTTATTACAAATATAGCAGAGGGGGGAAAGGGAGAAGGAAGAGGAAAAAACAAACACCACCAATTCCTACTGACATTAAGAATAATTCATCATCCAAAAAGATAAGAATAACCCATCAAAAAGGCTGTTGATTTTTCATCAGGTCTTTTTTAAAAAAATACCCCATACATACACCCCCCACCCCACCCCCACACCATTGATTTATTAACCTCCTTCTCAAGGCAATTTACACATAAGGTAATTTAAAACCGTTAATAACACTTGAGACAACAAAAACACCTAAAGCAAGACTAAAACTGCCACCAGATTCAGCAGTAAACAGTGAGTTTTCTGGGGAAAGCAGACGGGCAAACGAAAAACTTCTCGAACTTGTGCCCAGAAAGCACTGGCCAAACAGAAGTAATATTGTGTGTGTGTGTGTGTGTGTGTGTGTGTGTGTGGAGGGGGGGGCAAACTTACTTGGAGACAAATCTTCTGCTCGGTATACGAAGAGCTGGAGCATGGCTCTGCGTACTGCTGGCATTACTGCTGCCTGCAGGAGGTTGGCTTCCAAATCGCCACTGTCTGGCAAATGGGCTGCATCCTTGGAGAAGAGAAAGGCGCAACATAAACCTGTGACCCAGATGCTGGTGGCCCTCTAGATGTTTTTGGCTCACAACCCCCATCAGCCCCAGCCTGCCCCAGCTGTGCTGGTGGGGATGGATGGGAACACAGGAAGCTGCCTTGTCATGGATCAGGCCATTGGCCTACCTGGCACAGTGCTGTCCACACTGACCAGCAATGGCTCCCAAGACTTTGGATGGGAGACATTCCCTGCCCCACCTGGAGATGCGGGGGGGGGGGGCAGGACTTCCTGCAAGCAAAGCAGGTGCTCTGTCAGGGAGCTCCCTTCCCCATAATCCTTTTTCAGTCTCAAATATCGGGAGGGCCCTAGGTGGGTGAAAGCTGTCACAGACCATCTCTACAGAACACGGAGGGAGTTTCAGATTCAAACAGGGCATTTTCTGTGTTCATTTCAGTGGCAGCTGCAAAAGAAGCACAAACACTGTAGCAGGAACAAATGCAATGTTGGAACCAGCCGACAGTTATGCAAGGAAAGCTGTGGAAAACTCAACCCAGTTTAACAGGCATGCCGTCTCCCAAGAAAACAGTAGATCTGGCATGTGGGACCTGCTGTCCTGTAGCTTCTTCCTGTGGTGAGCCACACAGGAGGGCCACATGGGGGCAGGCAATGGTGTAAGGTGGGCCTTTTCGATTTAGCCAGGTACTCAGAGTAGAATTCATGGTTCTCTTTTCAAAACAACCTTATGAGGTAAGGTAATGAATTAATTATAGGTCTTTTCCCGCTGCTTGTTCATGTTCCTGGAAAAGTCTGCAACAGTTCAAATATAGGCACAAATAAAACTTAAATAAAGCTAAAGACCACAGAATTGCAAGAGCAATTAAAATTATCTGCAAAAGGTGAGAGAAGGAAAAGCAACAACAAACAAAAGACAGGCTTCAGGCAAACTTCTCTGGGGAGGGTGTTCCATGGCTGGAGTGCTACTACCCGAAAGGCCCTTTAGATAGTGGGGGAACCCCAAGCAGCTTTCCTGTGAAGTTTTTAATGTAGGGGCAGGTGCAAATCGAGACAGGTGGTAAGGTCAAGATGGAGCAACTGGACCCCATTCACCCACTGAGCTTCAGGGCAAAATAGGAGTTTGAACCTTGTTCCCCACAGGAATAAGTCTAACACTCCATGTCCACCATCCCAGTCTGGCATAGGAATTTGGGTGGGGACCCCACATAGTAGAATCATGGAATCATAGTTGGAACGGATCCTGAGGATCATCTAGTTCAGGAATATGCAGCTGTCCCTTACTGAACCCGCAACCTTGATGTTCTCAACACCACACTCTAACTAACTGAGCTGATGTTGGCATCCTGTAGCAGGACCCAGGTATAGATAATATTTATCTTCTTAAAAATGTTGCTGCTAAAATCCCAAGTTCTTCCTATTTAGGCTGCTGGTACAAGGCCACCAAGAGTTCTGCTTGTCTAGTCAGCCTGTCCTGCTCTACTAAACCATTTAGCAAGTTGGCGTCTGACCTAGGTAAAGGTAAAGGTACCCCTGCCCGAAGGCCAGTCGTGTCCGACTCTAGGGTTGTGCGCCCATCTCACTTAAGAGGCCGGGGGCCAGCGCTGTCCGGAGACACTTCCGGGTCACGTGGCCAGCGTGACGAAGCTGCTCTGGCGAGCCGGCACCAGAGCAGCACACGGAAACGCTGTTTACCTTCCCGCTAGAAAGCGGTACCTATTTATCTACTTGCACTTTAGGGGTGCTTTCGAACTGCTAGGTGGGCAGGAGCTGGGACCGAAAGACGGGAGCTCACCCCGCCGCGGGGATTCGAACCGCCGACCATGCGATCGGCAAGCCCTAGGCGCTGAGGATTTACCCACAGCGCCACCCGCGTCCCACAGGCGTCTGACCTACCAGTCTTGAAAAATGATTTATCCAAACAAGGCACCCCATCATTTTAATAGCTGCCAATGGCATCACATGAACTTGAATGCCCGTGACAAGCCTCTGTTGAGGTGGTGAAGATGTTGTAATGTAAAGATTTTTACCGGCGCCTGATCTCCAGCTCCAAGGACACAGAGGTGAACTTTCACATAGCCCCTTAGTCCGGCATTGAGATTAGCTGGGTCATAGAGGCTCAGCCATTTGCCCATCAGAGCATGACCTAGGGAAAAGAACAAGAGCCAACATTCACACCATCCAGAAGTGCCATCTAATTGTGGACAGACATTCATTTGAAAAACATTCGAAGATCCTGCTGGATCAGGCTTGGCCAGCATCCTGTTCTCACCAGGGCCTGTCAGATCCCTTTGGGACCCGAGCCCAAGAGCCCTCTCTCCCCCGGGGTTTCCAGCAGCTGGTCTTCAGAAGCCTTGCTGCCTCCAGCCATGGAGGCAGAGCATAGTCATCATGGCCAGCAGCCATCGATTGCCAAGGACAGCCTTTTCCTCCATCCTTTTTTAACGCCATCCTCGATGGCGGCCATCACTGCCTCCTGTGGCAGTGAGTTCCACAGTTCAATATTTTAACTGTTTAACTGCTTTGTGAAGAAGGGCTTTCTTTTATCTGTCCTGAATCTTCCAACATCATTGGTTGTTCATGAGTTCAGGTGTTATGAGAGAGGGAGAAAAACATTTCTCTGTCCACTTTCTCCAGGCCAGGCATCATTTTAGACACCTCTGTCATTTCACCTCTTGCCCACCTTTTCTCTTAACTAAAAAGTCCTCGCAGGGGAGTTGCTATGAGTAACAGTATCACAAGGATGCTTCCTTTTTGTCAAACGTCAATATAAAACTGTGTGACCTGGTCAGAGTCCCTCTTTCCTTACTCTGTAGGTAATATAAGCTGTCAAGCCCTAAATCTGAGGTCTGAGCTGAAACTTTTCACAAGTTTCCATGAATGGTTTTGGCCCTGTTGATGAGGGCTTCCTTTTCCAATTCTTTGAGGCACTCCTTGTGAAAAGGTTAATCCGATTGCTTACATTGCCTCACTAGCTCTCACTCTCAATTGCCTTCAATTGCCATCACCATATACTCAAATCTGACGGGCTCTATAGCGTAGTAATACCATCCCATGTCCTACAATAGCCGGTTTACATTTCATTTCCCACAAATATACATAGAAAATAGGCAATTTAAATATAGTAGTAGCACAACAGCTGTAATATGTAATACAAATATAATGCACTACAATATAAAAAGCATATTAGCACAAAACAACCAGTAGGACAATTAACAGGATCTGACACCAAAAACATCCATGGAGCTTGTGATGTGAGGATGGAGCACAAAGCCCAATGGAGGGCGGAGGAAGGGAACAGTGGCTGAAGGGTCTTGGACACCCTGCCTCCCAAGAGCCCTCAAACTCGCCACTGGCTCAAGACAAAAGTACCTGGAGATTCATACACAAGCTCGATCTCAATCTGCAGAGAGAGAAAAACAGAAGGAGTTACAGGAATTGTCAAGGAAAGGAAAAATTGAGCTGTGGGGAAATTTCAGGGCAATTCAGAATATTGCAAAGAGTTTGTGGTTAGACTAAATTGTGGTGGTTTTTCCTTTTTGCGGGAGGTGGGGTTCCCTTCCAATCCTGTGATTTTATAACTAAAATGGGGTTCCACAGGAATAGGGGAGATTGCTAAAATGGTCAAATGCTTCTTTATTAAGGAAATAGCATAGGCAGGTCTATTAAGTATCTGTATTGTAATGTATGCTAATGTGTTGTCACAGAAACTCTAAATCTCTGGAGGCTCTTCTGGGTGGTCAGTGGAAGAGGGTGTGTCTCCCTCCCTCTCCCTGGCTAAAGGGGACGTCTTCAAGACCTTTTCTGTGTGGAAAAGGACACAGGAGAATGGCCGTCTGGGGGCTGGAGCTACAGAAGAGACACAGAGGCCTGACTTGCTCTCTGCAAGAATCCAAAGCTATGGCTTTGGTGACCCACCCCAGGAACCTAAAGTAGGAGGAAGAGATGATCAGCTGGAAGATTAATGCTGTAAACCTTCCAGAACATGCTCAGCCTGTGTTTATAAACCTTCTACCACAGAAATCACCATCAGCCTTCCGTGGCCTTCACTCCAAGGAAACCAACCCAAGGTATGAGCTGGGACTAGGGATTTACAAATTCTGGTTTTCTAAGTTTCTCCTTTTTCCAATCTTAAATTCAGTTCTTCACATTTCTGCAGCAATTTGGTTTTCTTAGTGTGAATTTCCCCTAATTCTTAAATGCAGTTTTGACAAATATAGACATGTTTGCAAGCACTCTCCCCTATGATAATGCATTTTTGTATGGCATTTTCACTGATGTATGCCTGTACAGGCAAACGTTACCCTAATATAACATTGCATTTAGTAGTTGTTGCTCTAATGTAATTAGCTGCCATAAATAGAGCCTGTTTAAGTGTTGGATGTTGCCAGATGTTGAGTGCTACCAGTGGTAAAACAACAAACAAACAATGAATGAATGAATGAATGTCAAAAGCTTGGCTGAGAGATCAGAACTTCTGAAAAAGACTCTTTCCCTTGTCTTGGGGGCCAGCCCAGGGCAGCTCAAGGCCCAGTCCTGAGTTCAGGCCCACTGAGCAGCACCAGCAGGGAGGCACCTCTTGATTTCTGCCTCTCTGTAGATATCAGCCCAAATTGCACCCTGGAGACCCCAAGGAGGGAATCGGCCCGTATTGCCTTGGAGTTCAGCACCTAAAAAAGAAACACACATAAATTCCCCTCCCTCCCACAAAGCTGCCTTGTTCGTCTAGTATAGGGGTTGGCAATGCAGTGCCTCCAGATGTTGAGGACTACAATTCCTATCACCCTTGATCACTGATTCAGCTGATGGGAGCTGAATTCCAAAATACTGTATGTGGAGCCCCCCCCCCACCACACTGGTTGTGTCTGGTCTGAGTAAGAGGCAATTGTGGCCTCAGTCGCAACTCCACTCTCCCCCAGGCAGTGACTAAAACAAGGAGTGATAAAATCAACTCAACCAGACAACAATCTGGATTAAAAATGGCCACAGCTTTATTGACTGCAGAAGTAGGTGGAATTTTGGCGCAGGCATCGGGTGTCTATTTGTCCTAGCCTGCTGCCGGAGGGCTGAAACATTTTCAGGGTTATGCCAAGGACTTTGGCCTCTCCGAGACCCCAAGCTACTGAGGTGGCCATGCTAAGGCCATTTGCTGGAAGCTCTAAGGCCCGCCTGCCCCATGCTTGGCTTCTGGACAGAGACTTCCACCCTCTAATGGGGTGCCCTGAATACGCTGCTGGTACTGGACTGGGCAATGCACCTTCACCCAAAAGATATGGAGGGCACCACACCACATGGGTTGCCCCTAGTCGAAGTGAGATCCATTTAGCAGCTGCATTATCCTTTTACCACTTGCATTGGGGCTTCTTTTGTATCTCTGAGGAAAAGGAATAGATTTAAGAGTTTAAAATTCAAAACAGGCAACCCAGCAACAACCAAGTGTCTGCACAGAGGGTGCGGAAGAATGGAAAACATAATCAATGGAAGCTGGAGGAAGGTGACTCAAGAGCCACCAGCCCACACCACTTCTTCTGGTGTACACACCACACTTGCCTACCGTCAGGCTAGGCGGGGAAAGGGCCACAGTCCAGAGGGAGACTACCTGCTTTGCCTGCTGAAAGTCCCAGGTAAAGCTGAGAAAGACATCTGTTTGAAACCCTGGAGAGCTGCTGCCAGCCAGTGTATAACAAATACCCCAGCAGCCTGATTTGATACAAGACAACTTCCTGATTTGAAAGAGCTAAGAAAAAGTGTCAGGGTCAAGCTTGGACTTCACTTGGGCAATGGTGCGTTGGTTTTCTATCCTTATTTCTGGCTCCCCTGCCTGATGGCATCTTCTTAGGCCTCCTTCCCAGGAAAGGGTGTCTCCTGCTTTTGCCCTGCTAGCTCTCTCAGCCCACATCCACATCATAAAGTGCCATGATACCACTTTAAACAGTCCTGGCTTCCCCCAAAGGGTTCTGGGAGCTGTCGTTTGTTAAGAGTGCCAAGAGTTGTCAGGAGACCCCCATTCCCCTCCTAAAGCTACAGTTCCTACAGTGGTTTAACAATCCCTCTCCTCAGGGACATCTGGGAATTATAGCTCTGTGAAGGGGAGAGGGGCCTCCTTAATGGCACCCTTCATGGTACAGCTCCCAGAACCCTTTGGGGAAAGTCAGGACTGTTTAAAGTGGCATTGTAGTGCTTTCAATGTATGGTGCGAATGTGGCCTAACAAGTGAAGGAATTCCAATGGGTCTACTCTGAGTGGAACAACCTAGTTGCTTAACAGTCCTTTGTGGCCTTGTAGGTGTTGTGACCTCTTGTGAGAAGGAAGCGTGGCTGGGGAGTGGCAAAGCGTGCCCACAGCCTGCAACGTCTCAGAAGCAGCTCATGCAACCTCTCACCTGGCCAGGTTCCTTGGAGCTGCGATGAATGAGCCTGGGACCTTGCAGTGTTTAGCTGAGGGTGTGGATGGAGGACAAGGTTCTAGCTACTTGCTGGGGACGGTGGTGGGATGGCCTTGTTCCTCTATGCTTGGGAATCTCTCTGTTTGTTTTTGTATCCACTCCTCAGTTTCTGCTACGGCTCCTTCTGCCTCCTTGTTCCACTCAGACTCTCTGAAGATTCTGGACTAGAAGTCACTTTACGTCTGGCCTGCTTCTTCCTTTACAAAATTGCCAGTTCTGCTCCCCAGGTTATCAGCCCTGAGTCCGAATGAAGCCTGCCAGAGCTACAATTCTCAGAGTTCCCTGTGAAGAGGGATTGATTGTCTGGGAATGGTAGCTTTGTGAGGGGAACAGGAGTCTCCCAATAACTCTCAGTGTCCTTAGCAAGCTTTGGAGCTGTTTAAAGTGACACGATAGTGCTTCAAATTGATGGTGCTAATGTGGCCCCAGTGGCCGACAACCCAATTTGCTGCTTCTTGACACGAATCACAAGGTAATGCAATCGCAAGATGTGTCTAACCTTTTGTCCTCCAGAGGTTGCTGGAATCCAACTCCTATCGTGCCAGACTTTGGGGGCTGATAGGAGCTGGAGCCTGGCAGCCTTTGGAGAGCACCACACGGGCTACTCTTGAGGACATGGGATTCTGTTGAAAAGGAAGGACCAGATGTCGCTTTATAATAATAATAATAATAATAATAATTTATTATTTGTACCCTGCCCATCTGGCTGGGTTTCCCCAGCCACTCTGGGCGGCTTCCAACAAAGATGAAAAATACACTAAAATGTCACATATTAAAAACTTCCCTGAACAGGGCTGCCTTCAGATGTGTTCTGAATGTCAGGTAGTTGTTTATCGCTTTGACATCTGATGGGAGGGCGTTCCACAGGGCGGGTGCCACTACTGAGAAGGCCCTCTGCCTGGTTCCCTGTAACTTGGCCTCTCGCAGTGAGGGAACCGCCAGAAGGCCCTCGGAGCTGGACCTCAGTGTCCGGGCAGAACGATGGGGGTGGAGACGCTCCTTCAGATATACTGGACCGAGGCCGTTTAGGGTTTTAAAGGTCAGCACCAACACTTGGAATTGTGCTCGGAAACGTACTGGGAGCCAACGTACAGTGGTTCCTCGGGTTACATGCGCTTCAGGTTACATACGCTTCACTCACCAGTTTCTTTATGTACCAGAATGTCCAATTCCCCTTTTGGGACGTGATTTTCTATCTAAAACCGCAGTGCCTAGGACTTGCCGATCACATGGTCGGCGGTTCGAATCCCCGCGGTGGGGTGCGCTCCCGTCGTTCGGTCCCAGCGCCTGCCAACCTAGCAGTTCGAAAGCACCCCCGGGTGCAAGTAGATAAATAGGGACCGCTTACCAGCGGGAAGGTAAACGGCGTTCCGTGTGCTGCGCTGGCTCGCCAGATGCAGCTTGTCACGCTGGCCACGTGACCCGGAAGTGTCTGCGGACAGCGCTGGCTCCCGGCCTCTAGAGTGAGATGAGCGCACAACCCTAGAGTCTGGCAAGACTGGCCCGTACTACCTTTACCTTTACCTTTTAAGGCCTTCGACACGATTAGACATAAGTTCTTATGGAGTATTATGCAGGAGGGAGGATTAGGAGAGAACTTTGTGGAAGCAATCCGGGAATTGTATAGAGAAGGGAAGGCTGTGGTCAGAGTGAATGAGGGGGTTTCAGATCAATTCAATATACAAAGAGGAGTTAAACAAGGATGTTTACTCTCACCACTATTTGTATTAGGTATGGAGTATAATACTATTTGAGTGGACAGGCGGAGTCCCCAGATCCCACGCGGTCCCCCCGTCATGTGGAATAACGACTCAAGACTACGTGCTATGGGATTAAATTGGCCACAACTTTATTAAATTTCAAATGTGGGTAGACCTTGGCTCAGGCATTGGGTGTTCTCCCTCCCCAGTCCCCAGCCCAAGGCCTGATACCGCCAAAGTTGTGACGTTTTGCTACGGGAAAGGCGAAACCTGCCAATGCAGGGAAATTCCTTTCCGGCCCTTTAACCGCGACCTTAACGTAGCAGCGCCCGCATACCTGTGAAGAAAAGTTAACCTGCAAAACCTGTGAAGAAAAGTTAACCTGCAAAATAAGACATTAACTGAGGGTGGGTAGGGTGGGAGAAGCTCTGGAGCCAAGTGAGGATTCCCAGGTAAGATCCTCCCTCTATTGTGTGGGCAGGTAATCCCTCCCCTACCTGGCCTGGTCTCCTTGGCAACGCTTCCCCCAGGTGGGATTGGACAACTGACTGAGGTAGGCGGAGACCTCCAGGTATCCCACCTGAGGGAAGGCAAAGCCAAGCCTATGCTGTTGGAGCCGCTCCAGATCTAGGGGCTGCATGCGTCCAGGCAAAGGGTGCCCCCCGTTTTAAGCAGGGAGCGGTCATTGTATTAGGTATGGAACCATCCCAAAGCAGTTGGAAAAGGTCCAGGTGGGTTCCAACTTGCACAGACCACTTGGAACTGGCCCATACTGGTTGGAACAGGTCTAGACTGGTTTGAACCAGACCAAGTCGGCTGAAACAGATCCAAGCCGGTTGGAACCGGTCTAGGCCAGTTTGAACCGGTCTAGGCCGGTTTCTGCCAGTCCAAGCCGGTTTGAATTGGTCGAGGCAGTTTTGTACCGGTTTAGGCCGGTTTGAAGAGTTCCAAGTGGGTTGGAACTGGCCCAGACAGGTTGGAGCAGGTCCAGGCCAGTTGGAGCAGGTGCGGGTCATTTGAAACTGGCCCAAGCTGGTTACAACAGGTCCAGGCTAGTTGGAACAGGTCTATGTCGCTTGGAACCAGCCCAGACCTGTAGGAATCATTTCATACCAGTTGGATCCAGCCCAAGCTAGTTGGAACCAGCCCAAACCAGTTGGGAAAGGTCCAGGCGGGATCCAACTTTCCCAGACTGGATGGAACCAGCTCAGACTGGTTGGAAGAGGTCTAGACTGGTTTGAACCAGTCCAAGCCGATTTGTGCTGGTTGAAGCCGGTTTGAACTGGTCTAGGCTGTTTTGAACTGGTCAAATTCAGTTTCAAATGACCTGCACCTGCTCTAACTGGTCTGGACCTGCTCCAACCCGTCTGGGCCACTTCCAACCTACTTGGAACTGCTCAAACTAGCTTGGGCCGTTTAAAACCGGCCTAGACCTGTTCAAACCGGCCAAGACCGGTTTAAACTGGCTTGTACTGGCATAAACCTGCCTAGACCGGTTCCAACTGGCCTAGACCGGTTCCAACCGGCTTCAACCTGTTTCAACCGACTTGGACCGGTTCAAACCAGCCTAGACCTGTTCCAACCAGTCTTAGCCAGTTCCTACCAGTCTGGGGCAGTTCAAACTGGTGTGGGCAAGTTGGAACCTGCATGGAATTTTCCCAACTGGTTTCAGCTGGTTCAAACTGGATTGGACCGGTTCCAACCCGTCTAAACCAGTTCCAACCGGTTTGGACCTGTACCACCCGGCTTGGACCGGTTCAAACCAGCCTAGACCTGTTCAAACTAGTCTGAGCCAGCAATAAAACCCTTTCTGCAACCCCAAGAGTGCCAGATTGGAGGGAGGACCTTCACTCACCAGTTTCTTTATGTACCAGAATGTCCAATTCCCCTTTTAGGACGTGATTTTCTATCTAAAATTCAAGCTCAAATAGCCTTCATGCCTAAAGGGGCAGAATTGAAATTACCACCAATTGTAGTAGCTCTAAAGCCAGGTGCAAGCAGAACTGTGCATGCGTCAGCGTGGGTAGATGCACACCCGTCTCGCTCTTGGGACTTTACTAATTAAAAGCCTGAAAAACAAATAACTCTCTGCAAACTGATAGCTGAGATAACTGACCCAAAACTGGGCTTAGGTACAAGTCCTGGAGTTTTTTTCCTCGGTTTTTTATTTTTTCCCCTTTTATTATTTTGTTTTTTTTGTTTGTTTTTTGTTTGTTTTTTTTATTTATTTCAAGTAATTACACTACCCATTAGGAAAATATGGTTCAAAACATGGAATAAGGTATTTAAAAATTGGATAATGGACTAGCCTTTATCACTTTGTTAGTGGAGGGTGTATGCAAAGCCCTGCAGATACAATGGAACTGCACACTGCCTACCGACCACAGAGTTCCGGCAAGGCGGAAAGAATGAACTGGACTCTTAAATGATAGCTGGCCAAATTGTGCCAGGAAACTCATGGCAATTGGGTGGACTTTCTACCCGTAGCCTTGCTCAGGATCAGATGTGCAGCCAACAAG